AAAAATAGAAAGTAATAACGCTACTCATTTTCTTTGAGGACACCGCAATCGTTTACAAGGACAACCCTCGATGGTTTCCCATTTGGAGTACCATACGACTCCAAAATCTTGACATACTGAAACCCTTTCATGACCTGGCTAAAGACGACGTGCTTGCTGTCAAGCCACGCGCACGGCGTGGTGCAGATGAAGAACTGAGAACCGTTGGTGTTTCGACCTGCATTGGCCATAGAAAGGATACCGGGGCCTTTGTGTCGTCCAGCCTTTCATTGGAAAGACTCATCCCCGAAGCGTGTCCTTTAAATGGGGCAGCCGCCGGTGCCGTTTCCGTTCGTGATGTCTCCCCCTTGTATCATGAAGTTCGGGATGATGCGATGGAATACACAGCCTTTGTAGGAGAGTGGTTTACCCCCAGGGGCCTTTCCAGGGGCACCGCGGCACAGCTCCCTGAAGTTACGCGCTGTGACGGGCACCGTGTCGTCGAAGAGCTCAAACTCGATGCGGCCAATAGGGGAGCGACTGGTTGTACCGAGGAAGCTTGTTCCGGTATACTCGACAACGTAAAATAAAACCTGCGAGTTGGCGGGATTCGTTGGGTAGGGTTGTAGGTAGCTCATCTCCGACCCGGCCCTCTGCTTTTTGAGTTGCGCATGGGCCGCCCCCCCCCCGGGTAAAAAAGCACATGCAAAGCGAAATGGCATTCATTCACGCGAACAGCTTGGATATTTAAGCAATTTAAGGGGGAAGGATTGTAATCTGCTGAAGTCTATATTGCCAAGCATCCTTACAGTTAGTGGAATATTGAAACATACATAAAATCATGACCACCTTTGTTTGATTTTTTTTCCATGACTAATCCCCCTTTCCTTGCCTACTAATAACCAGGAGGACGCGGGAGGTTCTGGATACCGCGAGCGATGGCGCCGGCGCCATCGGCAGGAGTGATTCCCCCACCTTTTATAGAACAAACATGGGACTAAGATCGATACCCCTAAAACAGCTACTCTGGAATGTCAGCATTTTTGTTTCTCTGAGCAAATTATGTAATAACTTACTTGTCTTCGGCTTGGTGTCGTGTAATGAATGCGGAAATGTTTTTGCTTACAGCAAGGGGGGGGGGGTCACGGGACGGTTCTGCCTGGGGCCATTGAAGCTTCACATTTGATTTAATTGGTGGGTTTTCTATTGGACTTCCTTGCCGTGGTTTTTCCTTTTTTCTTGTCAAGCCTCTTCACCTCTTTATGGTATATGGATAATATGAAAGTAGCTTGAATGTTGCAAAGAGCGCTTCCTGATTCATGTTATTATTATTACACTTCGATTATTGTTCTCTTATGAGAAATATTTAATTGCAAAGGTCGCCTTTGTATGAATTTGTTTGTTGACCCTTTTATTGTGCCCTCCTTTTTAGCGTTGTGGTTTTAATAGATTTGTACTTATCACAAAATTTTCCTCATATATATTTATACACATATATAAATATATACATATTCATATATAACTTTATGTTTACATTAAGTTCAATAAAAAAAAACTTAGCACCAGATGATTCTACAAGCAGTTTACTTATTGGCAATGTAGTCTCTCCTATGTCGTCAGAGGATATACGCCGTCTCGTACCAACTGCACGCCGCTGGTATTATATCTCTAACGTCATGAGGACTGATTTTGTTGCTGAATTCGATACTAAAATTCGTGCAAGGAAAGCATATGAGCAAATCAAGGGAGTTTTGTACCTAAACCATCCGCTTGAGGTAACCTTTGTACATCATAAGGCCACTAGCACGGATTTTTTCGATAGTTGTACACAAAGTGCGCCGCAATTATTTTTTGCTTTACCACCAGCTGATGAATTTGACCAGCATCTGAAAGAAGCAAGAAAGTCTATTAGCTCATTATCCCCTATTCCACCTTCTAAACAACGCTGGGTTGATTTTACAGTGTAGATAAGTATTTGATGGATAACAATAGATATTAATTACCGTGTTATTTGAAGAAGTGCTGAAGGCTTAAGGGCTAATTATGCTTTTTCTTTCTTTAAAAGGATGGTAAGTCAACACACTTTTTCCCTTTATCTAGGAAGTTATTGTTGGTTGTACATAGATTTCTGAAAATGGTATATTTTGGGGGCTGATAATCCACATACAACAGATGAGTGTTCCGATTTTTATGCTCTCTTATTGACCATTGCTTCGTTGTAATTCTTGGCAAAGAAAATAACGTCTTTACTTCGTATTTATGAAAGGCTACTGACCGCTGATATGGGCACGAGAAACTTGGCGTTGAACCTGCCTCTTCAAAATCTTACCATAGGTTGTTTTCTTTTTCAGCAAAAAGATTAGTATCAGGGACCACGGAAAAGTCACGGCTCATATTTTGACTGAAGATGACAAACTATTATGTGCACTCACTGTCTTTTTTAGATAAAAGCTTAATTTTCTATTCGTGAAAGAGTATTAGCATTATAAGCATAATGTTAAACTATGGTGAGTTGTGACCGAACAGGTGCAGCGAATTTTCATAATGTTACATACTTCTCAATCTAATGTGGATCCTTGGGATATTAGAAAGCAACTTTCGGCAGATGTTTGTATTTGCTTTGTTGTTATTAGTTCGATGTGAATGTTGAGATTTGTGAGAGTCGATCTCAGGATAATTAAGACTACCGCACTCAACATAATAAAATCTCTTGATATCCCTAGTATCCAATGGATGTGCAAAAAGAAAATATGGCATTTAAGCTATCCCTATTTCATCTCTTTTTATCTTCTTAAAGTATTTTTTTCTTTTATGTGAATCTTTGCTTTTATCTCTTCTCGCTTCCGATTCTCCTCATACGATTCTTTCGAAGAAAATTCGATTTTGCACGACTGGGTTTCATTTTTCTTGATGGCTCGGTCAGGTCTAAAGCTGATCTAGTGCCACAAGTGGATGTAATATGGTGTCTGGGCAAGACGTTAGCGCTGAATGAGTTTTCAAAATGTTTCTCACTTATTGAAGTTATATTTATTTCTGCTGTGATAATTTGAACTCTGTTTAGTATTTACAGTCGTTTAAAAGGGTGTGTATATTCTTGAAGCTGTGGGCTATTCATAAATTTCGAACTATCATTCTCAACATAAAATTTGAATCTTGTGGGATATCAAGCTGTTTTGTCTATCTCAGGTCCATGTATATCGAAGCAGTTTCTTTGGTCTCAGTGTTCTTTATTTTTTGTTGTAGCTAATTTCCGATATTCTGGTATAGGCATACTCAAATTGTTTCCTGGTTTTTCTTTCCGAATTCTAGATTCACGTCATCTAAGAAGTGCTAGTTTATGTCATTATGTTTCTTAGTTTGTATGGATTTTCATAAATATGTACGGGAGATCTTTAGGTCAGTTGTTCATTCTTGAAATTGAATATTGAGCTCATTTCCTGCTGTAATCTAGATCTTTTTTTCTTTCCTTTTTCTCTTCATGTTCAGTCTTGTATATCTAGGTTTGTATTGATTTCTTTTTTTCGCATACGTATTTGATATATAACGGATTAAATGGCGGTGGAGTATTTGTCTGCATCTGAGAAAAATCTTCTCCTGGATCTGCTTTTCGATGCCACCGCTTCATTTGCGGCCACTGAGAAAAAATTCAAGGAAATTTTTTCTCCGTCCCGCTATCACGCACTCACGTGTGAGCTTAAAACCCTTTGCAAGGACTTCATCGCGTCGGTAGATGGAGTGGCGCTAATCATGTCCATATATCTAACTGATATGATGCGTAGGAATGACGACTTCCCTGCTAAAGTGCTCTTTTTTGACATTTTTGTAGAGCTTGAGCGAGCGATTAGGAGGGACATGTTTTGTGCTGAGAAATACAAATATTCCTTTAAGGATTCGAAGGATCCCAAAAAGAGTGCCGAGGCAACTTATGCGGAGGAGTACCGAATTCATTTGATAGTAAAAGTGTTTGCTTTTCGGCTACTTATGGGAGCAGTATCTGCCGATGAAAACGCTAGTTCCTATGTTTCGAAAAAACAGGAAGACATTGATAGCCTCCTCGACACATGTGATAAATCAAGTCTTCTTATAAAAGAGGCTCTGGCTGATGTTGCACATTGCTGGGCATCCGAAAGAGACAAGCGACAGTGTAGCACCACGCAGAAATGTGTCACATCTTTTAACCAGCAACTGAGCGAGCGTGCAGTACTTTCGGTGAGTCCAATTACGCCTAAAATTGCATCCCTACCCATATTAACGGGTGAACTGCAGCTTTTGTTTCCTGAGCACACATCGATGCTTGTTGTTGACAATTCAATGACGACCGTGATATCGGATAGCATAAGGAAAGGGACTGAACTTCGCGCGTCAAAATGTATGAGCAAATATTTCATCAAGAACATATTTTTTCTGGGCTATTCAGAGGAAGTATTGCGTCTCATTACACTCAATACTTCTCTTCTCGTTGGTATAGCCGAGCAGAATCCAATCGCCTGTGCAGCGATTCTAGAGGGCATTCCTCAGCCGACACTGAATTTTTGTATCCAAAGCGCACTGAATGGGAGTGCACACCTGGAGAATATTGAAGCAGTTTTGCTCCATGTATCTAATTCTTTGAATCAAAAAAGCATCAATATTTTCATAGCGAGACGCCTAAAAGAGCTCAGCGATAAGCGTCTCCCATCGGACAGTGTTATAGAAAATGTAAAAAAGTTTATTTCGACGCTTCATGGGCTCCTTATAAAAGGTCCGAAAGAGTCCAAGGATATCTGTATTCCCGAGTCGCTTAAAAGTGAGATTGAACAACTCATTACTTTTAGTCATGACTCGGATATTTCTAGAATGTGGGAGGAAATAAAAGGTTGAAGCGTATATCTTATAGACTTATTTGGTATGCATATATATTCTAAGCTTTTTAAATTCTGAAATTGTGTTTCAACATTCCTTTTTCTCTCCTATAAGGATAAAATACTTACCGTTAAATGCTGAACATGTTGACTTCATTTTTTGGGGACTCTCTATTTTTTGTCTCCTGTTTTACATCCATTACTTATATTCTAAAGCTGAGTTGTCCGAATTCGCTTTTATTTTTGTCTCACATTCTTACGATTAGACTAATATTATCCTTTTTAGCAAACTTTTGGTGTATGCATCAATTTCAATATAATATACCAGTTAGTTTTTCATTTATAGCTTCACCAAACTCAAACTATTGCACAGAGGATGGTACGGAGTTTCATAATTCTGCTAAATGTTCAAGCTCACAGCTTTTCGTCACTACCCATTTTGTAGATGCTAGGGAAGGCTCAAAGATGCAAATGTTTGCGTACAATCGTCAGCAGACAATGCGTTCTCTTTATTATGCCATCTGCAAATCGGTTGCTCAATCTGGCTGCATCGTTTGCTATACATTAATGAGAAAAAAGGGATCCTGTTTCACTTCTTTCGTAGAAAAGATTCTGCTTCCAGACGATTGCATCCCAGAGGTTGTTTTTTATCAATATCTATTACCTTTACCTTCAAAATGTATTCAACTGAACTGGGTGTTTGTCAACTTCGTTGTCTTTCTGCCAACTATGAAGTTATTACCCGGCCATTTACCTTTCATAGCATGTTTTACTAAGCCTCCCACTAAAAAGGAATTACTTGAGCATGTGGTTTCTCACTTCACAACTACACTTTCCGAAGCCAATTTTTTGAGGGGTTGCCCGATGACTGCTGCCACTGTGACGCCTGAGAGTGTAACGATTGAAGATGATTACACTACCCGTTCCAATGGAAAACATGCTGCGATTTTAATGCCTTTGATTGAACAGGGTGACGTTGTGCGAGTAAGCATTTATGATGGAAGTGCGCAAAGTAGTCGAACAATGCAAGGTGTTATCCAAAGCTGTAGAATAGCTAATGGTATGATCTCCTATGACGTTCAGAACCCAGACACTTATGAGGTTCTTTGTGGTTTGAATTGCTTGCAAGTTATCCCGTTATAACAAAAGGAACGCCTACTGAAAATATTAATAGTGCAAATGTATTATTGTTATCACTTGTAGACTATTTAGCGAGTTATATTCTCTTCTTTCCTTCTCGTTCCTTTTTTAGATATGGATAATAAGTGGCAACTCCCATTGCGTGTGGCCTCTCCCCACACTAAAAAAGATCAGTCAATAATATGGAATACTTCGCGCTTGTGTTATGAGCAAAAGCTCTTCGGGCAGATTACAGGTTTATCCTATAACACAGGAGGTACTATGCTCGGCGTTACCTCAACAAATCAACTGGCAATTCTACGTGTTCCATACAATGATGGGGTTGTTGTGAACGAGCAGACTGGGCGCAAAAACTTTTCCATCCGTTTTCGACACGATGACAAACTATATATACAGGCGATCGATCAGCGAGTCGTGGTCAAGTCCCCTGATACGGCATTTGAGAGGCAATTTGCAGGTCATACAAGGGAGGTTCGAAGTGCTATTTTTCTCGGCAAGCATAACTTTGTGTCAGCCAGTGATGACACAACTGTCAAACTCTGGGATCTTTTGAATGACGAAGCCCTGGACACCGCGCATGTTCATACAGACTACGTTCGATGTCTCGAAAACTATTCCTCTGGTTGTCTTCTTAGTGGTTCCTACGATCACAGTGTCAATCTCTGGGACCCACGGGCGAGTCTGTCTAAACCTTTGCAGTCTTCTGGAAAGATATTGGGTGCGGCTGTAGAGACAATTTGCTTTTTAGAAGATGCAGACTTGATAGCGTGTGGCTCGGGCGATCAAATCACACTCTTTGATGTTCGAAAGGGCCTCTCTTCGTTTGTGTCACAAGTTTCCTTTCACACTAAAACGGTTGTTTCGTTAGCATACTCGCCGGAGCACAAGACACTTCTTTCAGCTTCCCTTGATTGCCGTCTTAAAATGTCCACCCTTATTGACTCAGAGTTGAAGTCGTTATCCACCATGAAGTTTAGCGACCCACTGACCGCAGTTGCTATGCAACATCAGGGCACAGAGTTCGCTGTTGGGATCGCCACGGGGGATCTTCGTGTTTTCAAATTAGATGAGCAACGAAGTGCTGTAGAAGAGAATGATGAGATTGGAGAGCCACAGAAAAAAACGAAAGAATTGGTCATATTGCAAGAAAAAATGAATTCTGTGAGGCACCAACTTAATACATACCAATATGGCAAAGCCATTAAAACAGCTCTTTATGCACGACATGCCGATGTTCTGGTTTCAACACTAGAGGAGCTGATTCGACGTGGCGCGCTGCACGTCGCCCTCAGCAACCAGAACGATCGAACAATGGCACGTATTCTTCGTTTTGCAACCGAATATGTTGACAAACCACAATTCATAGACACCATGCTAGAGGTGTTCGAGGTAATATTTGAGATTTACAGCACTGTGGTGAGTAAAAGTAATTTTTTTTACCGGGAGATGAAAATAGCACGAAAAAGGATAGCTGCGTCACTTGGCATTTTAAAAAGAATGGAGAAGGTTGTAAGCACTATGGAGCTAATTGTTAATGCTGATAATTCATAACTATGTAGTGCAAATAAAAAGGATATATATATATATATTCTAGTTGTCGATTAAGAGCTAATCAAACAAGATTTAGGAAAGCTTCCTTTTACAGATATTACACGTAGTAGTGCCCTTTTTCTGAGTTTATAAAGCTACTAATATCTTTTTATCTTTAATTATTCCTTTTAGAATTTTTTAGACTTCCAGTTTTTATCTATTTAAGAGATTTGCTTAAATAACTGAACATACGCGCACACAACGTGAACTGCAACAGAAAATGTTTCGCCGCATTGGGATCAGTTGTCTCACAAAGAGGCTCCAGAGCCGTGCATTCACCGCCACGACACCACTACTTAATACCGACTACGAGATGTATCGTACTGCCTCCGTTCGTGAGCCGGCTCCAGAATTTGCAGGTAAAGCAGTTGTTAATGGGAGTATTAAGGAAATCAACATGAATGACTTCAAGGGAAAGTACGTTGTTCTTCTTTTCTATCCAATGGATTTTACTTTTGTGTGTCCAACAGAAATCATTGCCTTCTCGGATCGTCATGCAGAGTTCGAAAAGATCAACACACAAGTGATCGCTGTATCGTGTGACTCCGAATATTCGCATCTTGCCTGGGTCAACACTCCCCGCAAAAGTGGTGGTCTTGGTGAAATGCGTATTCCTTTACTAGCGGATAAGAATTTGGAAATTTCGCGTGACTACGGTGTGCTTATTGAAAACATGGGTATTTCATTGCGTGGCCTCTTTATTATCGATAAAAATCGCATACTCCGTCATTCAACTATTAATGATCTTCCTGTTGGGCGCAGCGTGGACGAGACGTTGCGAGTTGTCCAAGCATTCCAGTACTCAGATGAGCATGGTGATGTGATTCCATGTGATTGGAAGCCGGGTCGTCTCACTATGGATGTTTCCAAAGCTGGAGAGTTCTTTAAAAACAACATGTAGTTTTTTTTTCGGATTGTTGCTTACTGGCAGTATTATTTTTGTTATTAGTAGTAACTATTTCATAACCACGATTTTATTTTTAATACATATAACTATTTTAGGTCTACTACTATTGTTTCAGGTAAATATATGTTAGCAATGCGGGAAATTTTGTTTATTCACGCTCAAAGGAGACATCCTCATTGGATTGTGCTGCTTCTATGCTCTTTTTCTTTCCTATCTTGCCCCCCTTTTCTTCTCAAATTGCAATTATAGGTGATATTGAAGATTTCTTTATGTCGCGTTTAAGCGTACCTCCCAAGTCTGGGAAATTACCTAACCAGGCAGTTTCGAAACAATCTGCGAATATCAATCCAAAGGTGTTTTTTGAAATCAGCATCGATAATAAAAATTCCGGGAGGATTGTGATGGAGCTTTATGCCGATACCGTACCTAAGACCGCAGAAAACTTTCGAGCGTTATGCACTGGGGAAAAGGGGAAAGGGAGAAGCGGAAAGCCACTTCATTACAAAAATTGCCCATTTCATCGTATTATACCTGGATTTATGATTCAAGGTGGTGATTTTACGCGCGGCAATGGTACAGGTGGAGAGTCCATCTATGGCACCACATTTCGAGATGAATCTTTTGCTGGAAAGGCTGGTAAGCACACGGGGTTGGGTTGCCTTTCCATGGCCAATTCTGGGCCAAATACGAACGGATCTCAGTTCTTTATATGCACCGCTCCAACGCCTTGGCTGAATGGAAAGCATGTTGTCTTTGGTAGGGTTGTGGAAGGTATCGATATTTTGAAGCGTATTGAGCGCCTTGGATCTGCATCAGGGCGGACACGCTCCCGCATTGTTATAGCGAACTGCGGTGAAATAAACTCCGGTATTGAAGCCCTTGAGGTGGCACCGCCATATGAAGACGTTGCCAGGAAGAAAAAGTCATCTCAAGAGAAAAATTCAAATGAGTGCAAGGCTGCTTTGGCCTCTCAAAAGGAGAAATCAGCACCGGTGGGGGATAAGGTGAACACAGCGACGACAAAGGCTGCTCATAACAAAGATGTCAGTGAAGCGCCGGCTCCGAGTTCTACGAAGAGACCTAGAGATGACACAGAAGAAGAGCGTCGTAAAGGCATTCGTGCCAAAAAGGCAAAGATTGCCCAACTCCGAGCCGAGCTAGACTCTATGTCTGCGTGAGTTATGCTTGTCTAAGTTTATCCCGTTTAATAAGCTAATATATTAATATAAACATTATTGACATTTGACGAGGGATGCGCAATCCATAATCGAACTTTTTCCACATAAAAGTCTATACCGTGTGATATTCATTCCTTTTAAATGCGCAAATTCTTTCCTAACAGTGAGAATCCAGAACGACTCCTTTTTGTTTTCGCTTCAAACAACAACAAGAGGAAAAGAATAGTATAGAGAGTGTTAGAGTCCACCAAATGTTGAAACGGTGCCTCGCTAGGTTAGCTTTTGAAGTAAAGGATGTGAAAACTAAGTCGATCATTGCCCGTGCGCGATCGAGGAAGGAAAAACAAGGTGTTTCTCCTTCTGATATCGACGATGAAGATCTCGCTCGCGAATGTAATTTACTCGATTCTTATCTCATTTCTACTGATGACTTGTTAGCGCAGAAGGAGAGACTGCTCGCAATGCTAAAAGAGCAAAAACTAAAGCGCATTTCGCAGCGGGAGGCTTTTTTCACTTGGCAGACTAAACAACGAGAAAAAGGTGCTGCATATCGTTTGGATCGGCAAGCACGAACAGCAGAAAAATATAAGCAACATCGTTACCACTCACAAAAAGGACGTATTCTTCCTGTAGCACACTTTAAGGGGGATGGGGAGAGGAATGACAAATTAGCTTGGGAATCGGTAGGTGCAAAGCTTTGTTGCTCACGTGAGTGCATGTCGTCGACTGAGTTCTTAGTTGATGAAAATCAGCGTAACCCATACACAGTTTTTTTGTCCTTGAGCAAGCGATAATTTTTTAGTTTTCGCTTTACTTTCTCACTTTCTGCATTTGTGCATCGCCAGACAAGGAATTGCATCACAAGGGACGTCGGCTATGAAACGAAGAAAATCAAGGGGTGGAAGTGGTGGTGCGTTTACTCCCTAGAGGCGGGGTAAATGACAACAATGAATCCGATTCTCTTATCAACACTCTTTTTTTTTTGGTTTCATGGTGTCTGAAAGGATTTAAGTAAAGCGGGATAAATTTGAATGTATACAAAATTTCTCTCAACTGTGAAGAATATTTCACCGCGTTCCGGTGAATGGGCTAACAAATTTGGTCCAGTTGCATTATTCGGCTATGACTATGGTGCTCCAGGCAGCTCAGCCAAAATTCTGCAGCATTTTTATCAATGCCCACGTGACTGTGATTTTTACGCCGAGCTCACGTTCCACGACACCACACCGATCGAATGTCCGCCGGAGACGGTGGTTTTTCTCCCAGTTTTTAAGGCTGGGTTGATGGTTGAGGAGGGCCATGCCGCAACACCTTCTCGCGAGGAATGGTTTATGGCAAGTATGGAGGCAACAACTGACCTGTTGGAAAAAGGGTACATTCCTGTAAGTGTTGGTGGTGACGGGTCCGCCACTCACAGCATGATTGAAGCACACAAGCGACTCATTCCTCAGGAAGATGTGGTTCTTATTCATTTCTCCGCCCATCCACGAGTAGGGGATGTAAATTTACCCATTAATATTATGATGGAGAAGGGACTTTTAAAAGGCGTAGTTAGTGTCTCCAACCGGTGTGTATCATCTGAGGACCGTAGAGTTCGAAAGCACCATAAAATGCTTTACATGGATATGAATGCCATATATTCCAAGGGTCTTTTTTGCATTCGTGACATTCGAAATGATTATCCTGTCTTTCTTAGCATTAATGTTGATGCCTTGGATCCCGCATTTGCCCCTGCTGTAGAGAATCCAGTAAGTGGTGGGCTATCGACTCGAGATTTATTACACATTCTCACTGGGATTCGTGGCCCCAAAGTTGCTGGCATTGATATACATGGTTACAATCCTTCGCTTGATATTTACCGTGGTGATGGCGTTGGGCTTACTCAAATTGCCCTATCCAAGATTATCAAAGAATGTATTTTCAAATCCTGCTCAATTTCCACACAGACAGAAGAGGAGGGAATGTCTCGAATTAAGATGTTACAACACGAGGGCACGCTTTCTGATAATCCCTATCCTGATCATTAATAGTTTCTATTTCCTCTCTTTTAACGTGATTGACATTGGGATTTGATTTTCTTGTGGGGCAAGGGATAGGGATAACTCTCATTACATAGACTGATTCAGAAATATCTGTTAATTCATTCGTTTTAGCCGGTCCATGAAAACAGAGGTAGAGGAATATGTACATGTTATTAGATACGTGTGGATGGGTGCGTATTTTTTTCTCTATGCATGGCATTCTTATATTTCTGATCTAATCTCATTTTTTTATTAGTTCTACTGATTGAATTCCAAACAGGACATTTTTTTTTACTATTCTCTTTGACAAATTTCAAACACTATAAGATGGAACAAGATGGCACCGTTGTGGTTCATGAAGGCGCACACGAATCACTGAACGAAGAGGAACTGGAGCGGCAGCGGACTGAAGCTCGTGCTTTAGAGCTAAAAGTTACCAAAAAGTCTGCTGAGCTCCAACGCGCGAAGGAGGAACAGGCTCTTCTAGCTGAGCTAAAGACGATGAACGAAATCATGATCAAAAGGAAAGAAAAGCAACCAAGTTTGAATCAGAACAGCTTGAAAATTTCAGTTGAGACACTCGACACACTCAGAACACTGGAAGATGCGCTCAAGGTTGAAAATCAAAAGACATCGGAGCTAAAGAATGTGTCCAAGGTGGTTTCTCAGCAACTGGAAGACGTAGAGAAGGCATTGGAAGGGAAGAGTAACATCTTGGCTGCGGCTAAACGTGCAACACGTTGGGATGTAGCGCCAAAATACATCCAAATTGGCGACAATACTGCCACTGATTACAAAGAACGAAAGGCTGCACTTGCCGAACTTCAGAAACAGCAGAAGATATTGAAGGAAACATCAGAACGTTATACAAAGGAGATCGAACAGCTCGAGTCTCGATTGGAGGAGCGAAAGCCCATTGAGGCTCAGATTGCTGAGGCAGAGGCAGAGTTGCAGCAACAAAACGCGGAGTACGATTCTCTGAGCGCTAAGGTCGTATCGTATGAGCGTCTAAGGAAGAAGAAGGAACGGATGCTGGACCGATCTAAAGATGAGGATAGCAACAAGGCGATTCGTAATATGGATGGTACTAAAAGATCCCTCCAAAACTATCTGTTGAAGCTTCGTGAATCAAGTGCAAGCAACACGAAGTCAATTATCTCCATGGAAATGCGTCTTCGCCAACTGGAGGCTCGTCTGGAGGCTGCTAACTTGTTCTTGAAGCAAGTGTTTGCTGAGATTCAAAATGATCAGCCCATGACAGGTGTTGCTGATGATGCAACTGAAGTGCCTTTAATTGTGTTTGAGGAGCTAAGTCGTGAGCTGGCACTTTCTCGCGAAACGATTATGCAGCGAGATGAACAACTTGATACCTATGACACCAAGGTAGAGGAGCTGGAGAAGAAGATGATCGTAATTCGGAAAGCCATCGCGTCACGTGCTGTCTCGTCTGAATTGCTAAATCAGAAAAAGGAACGCACCTTCGGGTCGTTAATGAGCAAAGCTGATGGTCTGAGTAAGGATTTCGATAATGAGTGTCGTCGCTTGATTAATGAAAACGAGATCTTGCGGAGACAGCTTGGAATTATGTAGGGCAAATGCTCTTGAATTCCAAGATAATGATCGTGAGGTGAAGGTTTTCTATCTTAGGGATATATGCATATTTATATTTATAGGTGATTACGCCAATCTGGATAACGAACATTTCTATGTGTTCTTATTTTTCAACGTCTTTTTTTTTCGTAATACGGAACTTCCAGTGAAAGGTCGGTAAAAAGGTTTTATTCCACGTTGTTAGGTCTACAATTAATCTTGTTTTTGTTATAAGTGTGTGTGTGTACGTGTGTGTGTGTGTGTGTATGTCTGTATGTGTGTATTTTATCGTTGAAAATGTTCTTATTTTTCTTTCTTCGTAGTTTTTTTGGGGGAAGATGAAATAGATTTTTCATACAGTGTATATCCACGTGATCATGTCTACCTCTCTGTACTTGAATCACCTAGTGCATTTGGAGTTATTTCGGTATAATTTGATAGGGTGCTTGTAATCTTTATCCATAGCTCTCTACAATACTCATAGTTAAAGCGTATAATATACACATAAAAAGCCATTTTTTCAAGGTTTATTTCCTAACTTCACATATAGGAAACATTACGATTTGTTTTTATAGTTACGCTCGACATATGGTAATTATACTGATTAAATAGAAATATATATGATGTCACTTGTGGAAGAAGTCAAGACAAATTATCACTTAGTGGTGTCACCAGAATATGTAGAAAGGGCAAGACTCCTGAAGAATGAGTTAAGTGCGGTTGACGTCTTTCAGATGGCATTAACGGATGATCTTAAGAAAGTGAACCACTCAAGTACACTCCCATTTGGAATCGCATCGCAAACAAACTCTTCCATTCCTTATTCTGTAGTTCTTCAAGTCAAAAGCGCACGGGATGCTACGCAAGCGTTGCGCCCTTGCTTAGATTCTGCAGACGAGGAGGACGTCTTTAATTCGGTTTTTCAAAAGACGACTAATCACCGTTTACTTCGACTTGTCTTAACAGATGGGTACACGGATATTCCTGCCATTGAATTATCCACCCTTAGTATATTTAAGGGTATCCCCGTCCCGGGAGAAAAGATTCTCGTTAAGGGTGGATCTAAAGTGCTCAACGGATCTATTATCATGGTTGAGGATAGTGTTATCCCTCTTGGTGGCGAGGTTAAAGAGCTGAAGCAGGAATACCTTGCCCAGCGAAGACGCGTGAATGCGGGATGCCAAGTAAACAAGGGATTAGAGGGTGCGCCATGCTTTGTCCCACTGCAGACGGAAAGCCGATTCAAGACACACAGTTCTGGTGAGTCTGGTGAACGTTACGGGCATCACGATCCGTCGAGTAATCGTTATCGACCTTCTTGTGGTAGAGGTCGAGGTAATGGAACTAGTAAAAATCAACCGAACCATAAGTTTCCTTCTCATCGCAAAGCACAAAACCGTGATGAATCGTATCGCGGCAACACCGCAGCATCGTTTCACTCATCTTTCCCGCGATAAAGGGCAAATCGTGATGGGTACGGTAGCTTTTGAACTGATAGATGCGATGTGAATTCAGTTTGTCGTTGTAAGTAGCTTGTCATGGCTGTACGGCAGGGCGTATAGAACAAGCTATTCACTTTTTAGCTAGAAGGCCTTTTTGTTATCATTATGAAAGCATTTCTTCAAAGGAACATTCATATGATAAAAAAATCTATCCCCCCCCCCTCCCCCGCTACCTTTCAAAAAAAAATTCATAAGGCTTAGCAACAATATTCGGCTAAAATGGTCTGATATGCCTGAGAGCTAATAGTAGAGGAGGTAACTTTAAATTGCGGATTCCCTTTTGAAACAGTATGTCTTAAGGTACTCTTCTAACACTAGTAGTTAAGTTACGATTTCCTCACACATCACCCTTTTCAAATTTCTGACGTCAGCAGAAATACCTCAAATTATCGGAAACTAGTTTTGAAAAGGCAGTATCTTTCTTGAAAGTCGTATGATAGCGTCCTTGAAAAACATAACTTACGACATCATCATTTTCTTCTTGTTCACATCTGCTGAGTAATGTTGTGCGGAATCGTAACACTCAAAGTCGGGCTTAATTTAGTTAATTTTGGAAGAAAGCTAACATGAATGGATAACATCACGACATCATGCCCAAGTGTAGATTGATGATGCAATTTGCAAAAAAAAAGTGGTGTGATATGAAATGTAATTACTTTCCCAAGTCTTTCTCACAGGATCATCTTCTTGTCGAACATATACTTTCCAAGCTTATTACTACTACATTTTAATATTAAAAAAAATTGTAAAAATGTCTGATAAGAAGCCGGGCATGCGGGCTGTTATCCTTGTCGGAGGATTTGGAACCCGACTTCGCCCCTTAACATTCACCGTGCCCAAACCCTTGGTTCCCATCTGTAACAAACCTATGATCATTCATCAAGTCGAGGCTCTCAAGAAAGCTGGAGTTACAGAAGTGATCCTCGCTGTTGCCTATCGTGCAGAAGTTATGAAAGCTGAGATGGACAAATGGGCAAGCAAAATAGGTATTTCGTTTGTCTATTCTGTTGAGGATGAACCATTGGGTACTGCTGGACCTCTTTCACTGATGCGTGATATTCTCATGCAAGACGATAATCCCTTTTTTGTACTCAACTCGGACGTCGTATGCGAGTATCCACTTGAGGATTTCATTAAATTTCACAGAGGACATGGCAAGGAAGGGAGCATCATGGTTGCCAAAGTCAAGGATTGGGATAGGTACGGTGCGGTAATCTATGATGAAAAAACGTTAGTTATCAGAGATTTTGTTGAAAAGCCCAAGGAGTTTGTCGGTGATCGCATTAATGCTGGTATTTATATTTTTAATAAGAGCATTCTATCTCGCATTCCACTTGGCAGGACTTCCATCGAACGACAAATTTTCCCGAAGATGGCTATTGATGGTGAACTCTGTGCGTATAATCTTGAGGGGTTCTGGATGGATATTGGTCAGCCCCATGATTTTATTACTGGTATGTCCAAGCTTTTGCCCTTCCTGGACGAAACAACTTACAAAACAAAGAAACCACACATTGAAGAAACGCGTGATGGGGTGGAGTCGCATTTCAAGGTTTGTGGGAACGTTCTAATTGATCCCAGTGCCACTATTGGTGCGGGCTCTGTGATCGGGCCCGATGTTTCGATCGGTGCCAATTGCAAGATTGGTCCTTGCTGTCATATTCATTCAGCAGCGATTTTTGATAACACAACTATCGGGACAGCTACCGTGATTTCGAAGAGTATTATTGGCTGGAATAATCGTATTGGTTCTTGGTGCCATGTCGCGAATAACTCGGTGCTTGGCAATGATGTGGAGATAAGCGATGATATTATCGTGAACTGTGTAAAAGTACTTCCTAACAAAAGTGTATCAAAAAATTGTTTTGAGCCCGAAATATTAATGTGATACAGTTTAATTTATGCGTTTGTTCATAAATATTTCTAGCTTATTTTCCTATCAGATGGGGGTACGCACTGCCTTGAAATTGTAACGAAACTAAGTGGCTTGGCATCAGTGGACCAGGCATATGTATCTATTAGTTGTCTTTTTCTGTTTGGTGTTTTTTTCTGTTATTAATTTTTCTCTTTTAGCTCTTATTAAACAAAAAGATCTATATTCCGTATTAATACGTTCTTGAAACTTCCGCTCATCTGAATCAATGGTTAGAGTAAATTTAAAAGCATTAAGGAGTGAAACCATTATGAATTTTTTGCTTTCACTTACCTCTATAAACCAAGGTAATAATTTTCTACTCTTTAATGGGATGAATTTTCATTTTTATAAACATTTCAGAGACTTGAAATGCACTCTTATATATATATATATATATATATTCATATTTAGCATGTTATTAATATTTAATTTTAACTTCATGCATATCAAGGGAATAATCTGACAGCTTAAAAACTGATGCGATGCTTAAATGTTCTTTTTATCTATTTTTACATCTTCATTCTCTCATCATTTGCTCGTTTCACTCGTTCACTTTTTTCATTTTAAGTATTACATCGATAGAAAGGGTCGATAAAATTTGTTGAGCAATGGTTGATAAAAGAAGAGATGGCATACAAAGAAGCTGGCTTGATGTGCGCTGCACTTTACTAGGAAGCGCACAACATGAGACAGTAATGAAAAGATTTCTGGATGACTTTCTATGTGAGATTCATTCCCGTACCGATCCACAATTCAAGACATATTTTGGCGATGGGAATGCGTTAGTAAATATGTTGTGTACTGCTTTTGTACATAACTCCAAGCGTATTTTTTCCTCTCCTGCTGAGGAGTCTGTTTCAACAGCTTCGTCTCCGTACCAAACCAAGTTGGTGGATTCTCTTCTTCTTTTAGTGACCTGCGAGCCTTATCCGGATAAGTCCCTAGCGTGTTTGGCCGCGAGCTTCGAGCTATTTGGGTATTATAATATGATCTCCACTCTGCTGTCGCTGCATGCTCAGTTGATAAGTTCAAAACACACAGAACACCGACTTCCTGATCCAGTAAGTCGAGCCAACCTAGGGTACATGCGTCTTGTACAGGAGATAATATGCTGCCCACAACCCCATTTAATTCGGAAAAGTCTCAATGAAGTCACACAACCGAGGCACATCAACTTAGTTGTGACAACGTTGGTTAAGTGCCACACTATGCTCTCGTGTGATAGTAACACCTCCCTTCTCGCAGAGATCACATCCAAGGTTCTGCAACAACAAATTTTGCATTCGCCGGCTGTGGAGCCTATTCATCAGGCTATTGCTTTACTGGAAAACAGTATTGGAAGTGAACAAGTCGATGTCTGCAACGACACCAAATCCCATATTGCTGTGAGCCTTACGTGCTCACTAGAGTGCGTAGCTTTTGCTTGTCAGCGTGCGGGATACCAAATAAAGGAAACGCTTGACTTCGGTGCCGTTGCACCCATGATGCTAGCGCTCTCAAAATCATTGGAGGATTCAGAGGCATTGCTATGTAAGAGAATTCTAATATGTTTTGAGAAGATGGTTAATTCATCAAGAAAGGTACTGGAATCATCAGCTTCCCTTTCGAAGGTGCGTAGTGGCATTCGTCAGATGCTTCCAGAAACGTTTAGTAAATTTCAGCAAAAAATAGTTGGAGCTTTAACGAGTGGGGGCGGTAAGACGGTCCGGCCTTCGATTAACTGTCCTGGTGTGTTTCAATGTTTATTAACCCTATTCATATGCTCCACTTCTGCGTCACTTACCGAGCTGTATGGTGTGGAGCTATTCCGGTTACTGCTATCCGAGGGCGTAGACAACTCGTTGCGCGAACCTATGTTGTTATCGTGCCATAAAAATATTGCTTCATTTACTCCGCAGCAACTACGCTTGTTTTTGAATTTCTTGTCGGAACTCAATGAAACTGATGACATTGTAAAACATATTGAATTCCTTATGAGCGACTTCTGCACAGAAGGTGTTGCTGCAACACCTTGCAAAGTACTTCTTATGGAATTCTTTATTAGCTGTTGCGAGAGAATTCCGCTCGCCGTGGATTTGGCCTTGAAAAGTGGCATTATTTCGGCCTCTTTGCGGTGTGTTTTGCACCTAATTTCTGAATGCGATGAGGATTTATCCTTGTTTGTTGAGAAAGCAGCGGTGCTTTACAAAATATTGGTGAGATCACCGACTGCAACGCGCCTTTTAGACCTTGACCATACGCCTAATCTTCTTCTAAGCACCATTCTTGAGTCCAGCAGTAAGAACAAACATGAGGTTTCTGTCATTCTGAGAGATATGTTCACGAGCCTCGTGGTCAAAACTGGGGCCTTCTACGGTACTCTCATATCGAACATCTCGCACTACACTGAGACAAGACCGTGGCGGCCAGGTACTTCTGCCCTTCTTGCGGTGCTTGTAGCCACGCTGCAAACTGGGAAGCATTCCGAGGATGCTATCAAAGGAAATGCGATTGAACTGTGCCTCGCGATGGTGCACGACATCAACAGCAGCCAAGCTCCACGCGTGGATTTGCACTTCATCGGGTGCTGTTTGTGTTTCCTTCTTCCTGTGGTGTGTTATAGCGATGTGTGGGATGTGTTCGACGCGTCTCTGGTGAGCCTTGCTCGTACAACACGTAACGTTCAGTTTATGCTCGATTTATGTTGTGGATTTTTTTGCACAAACGAAAGTATCACGGCTTGCTTTTCATATTTTGAATCGGGTGACGAAACAGTTTTCGACGCGATGCGCAGCTCCTCTGTGCTCTATGGACCATACGCAGTCTTAGAGCGACCCTTCTGCGAGCTTAAGCACCCACTCAAAATGCTTATTAACTGGGCGGGTGAGGAGCGTTCTGCTATGGAAGACACATATAGTGTCTCTACTGCAAGTGATGTGGCGCTGGCGGTCGAGAAATTTCTTCTTTCGACCAAAATCAAACTTCCGAATTCCTTTCTTGCGCAGTACATTCTTGAATGGAAGCAACCGCGATTGCTGTGTTGTGTGCGAGATGTTGCGCGTAAGGAATTCAACAACCTTTTTTTCGGTGGAGAAGACACTTTAGATGCTGTTGATTCTAAGGCCGACGCTTGGCTCGCTGCTCTTCAAATTCGAGACGGTGAGCCGGTGGAAAACCGATATAATATTGAGTTTTCCGAATCCGGTGGTGCGTCTGGCGTGGTTCGCTGTGTTGGCGAAACGTGGCCGTCTTCCGATGGGTACTCAACAGAAACTTGGGTACACTGGAACTACTTCTCTGTCCTTGAGCGGAAGGATCAACGCAACTCGTTATGGCAACTATCATGGGCTACCACTGATTCAAACTTCTCTGTTTCTTTTTTAGTTAACCCTTCAGAGGAATATTGCCACTACCTTTATGAAGAAAACTCTAATTCTACATCTGTAGAGCTTCCGTTTATTCCTCCAGGTAGATGGGTGCACGTTGTGACATGTCATTATCGCAGCATGTTCCTTGCATCAACTCTCCAGGTTTACTATGACGGTGTGTTGGTTAGTGTACTGCCTTGCCCATATCCTCATATCACTGTTCAAGACGCTGTTCCAGTGGGTAGTGGTCTACACACGTTGATTCACGAAGTTGGCTGCACTGTGGGCTCGCCGCGAGAGAAGCCAAACGCAAATATTGTTTTGAAATTTATCTCTTACACGCTGTTCAATCGCGTTGTGTCGGCAGAGGAAGCTGCTGCCCTTTACTCTCTCGGTGCGCAAAGCCAAGACAACTTTTGGGGGCATTCCAGCTCTCACGAAGCATCGCTGCGAGCTCCCTATCTTCGGGATGAGGTCTTACGAGCCGTCAGTGTGTCTCAAAAGCTTGGTAACTTAGTGTCAAGTTGCAAAAAGGGTTCCATACTTATTGCTTCACCACCTGACCGAGCTCTTCTACGGCTACATGTGCGATGCATGTGCCTCATATCGAGTCAATTGAATTATTTGAACAATAACCAGTGGGCTTTTGTGAATTGCGAGCCCGCTAGCTCAACGAAATTTTTTGCCTATGGAGGCCATACGTCACCGACGGAATCCATGTGCAGCGAGGTGGACGCCTTGCTGGCGCATGGTGCCATGCGTGAATGGGTTCTCTGGACTAGCATCATTGACACGGAGATGTCATTACAACAAGCGAAGATGGAGCGGATTATCATTACTGCCCGGCGCCTTTTGCGTGTGCTTGTTGCAGCCAACAAGCAAACAGAATTTTCCGATGCAAGCTGGAGGCGTTTTGTGAGGTGGATCACGAATCATGTTATGAGACACCCGCGCTTGTACTTAACGGACGTCGAGTCCCTTCAAACTTTGTTTTCGATTAGCGCATGTACGATGGACTCTTGCAGACGACTCAATGAGAGGGACCGCATCTTCCACAATAGCCTTATTTGTTACACACCGCCTCTTGAACAAATTTTTTTCAATTGGAAGGTGCTTTGTAATCTACCAACTTCCGCCTTACATACAATTCTTAGCAATATGGAGGATTTGATTTGCCCTGACAATCCTTATCACTGTTTCAATGCACACCGAATGTGTAATGCAGATTTTATTAATGGTTTCGTGTGTGGTCTCTTTCGCCAACATGTGGTGCATGTAATTCTCGAGCGCGCCATGCGTTGTGTTACGTTGATACTGCTAGCTCTAGCCTCTCATGATACCTTTCTGAGTGAAGTCTTTGCTATATGCTGTCTATCGATGCCTGATAACCCAGTGAGTACACATCTTGGATCTAAGTTACTGATAACTTCTCTGTCCTATATCGAGATCGTTCGAAATTTGTTACTGAGGTCTATCAATGATGCCTGGGACAAGTTGACACCAAAAGGAAGGGAGACATTCGCAAAGGAAATGTGCAACGTCTTACCACCTTTTTGGTTCCCCGTTATGGTGTCGGCTTCGTCGCACCCCGTCACAGTAACTTTGTCTATGCGTATTTTTGTTATA